CCCCGCTGACCCCCCCGGCAGTGATGCCCATTAACACCCTCACTGACACCCCACTGACACCTCACTAAGTAACACCCCACTAACACCCCACTAATAAACACCCCCACTGACACCCCACTAATTAACACCCCACTGACACCCCAATAACACCCCACTGACACCCCACTGACACCCCACTAACATCCCACCGACACCCCACTGATAGACACCCCACTGACACCCCACTAACTAACACCCCCACTAATAAACACCCCACTGACACCCCGATAACACCGCACTGACACCCCGATAACACCCCGATAACACACCACTGACACCCCACTGATAGACACCCCCCACTCTGTGACGCTCCCGCTCAGCGCTCTCGGGCCCCACGCCGTGCCCGGCCCGGGGCGCGCTGTCCGCGGCTCCTTCGGGCGATTTCCCCGACTCCTGCCGCGCCTCGGCCGCTGGCCGATTCCAGGGAAGCAGCAGCGGGGGCCGTGGCTAGGGAAAGGCTCGGGAGGCGCCGCCGGGCCGCCCTGCCCTCGGCCGCAGCTCGGGCCTGGGGCTCGCTGCCCCGGCGGGGCTCGCGTTGGGAGGGCCACGTTTCAAACACGTGTGTAGAGCATTGTGTAGAGCCTTCCCCTATACCTTCTCCTCCCCCTCTTCTTCTCTTCGAGGGGAACTGGAATCCGAACGGTGAGATGTAGAAGAGCGCGAATCCCCGTGAATCCCATCTGAATAAATGTCTATATTAATGAATTATTAACTCGGCCGCTCGTGACCTTAAAACTGGAATGAGGAGACGCCTAGGGCAAGAAGGAGAGCTGCTGAATCCTTTATCGGACTCCTGTCAGAGGTAACCGACCATTTGTCTTTCCCAGATCAGGAGAATTAATTAATATGAAAGGCAAACTTTTTAATTGTGTGTCAAACGAAATCAGATAGGGTGTCCCCGATTCAATCCCTTGCTAAAAGGGTTTTAGCTCCCTTTTCTAACTCAAGCCTAAAATAAAGCCTTAGAGTTTTCAAAGAGAAGGGCATCCTTCATAAGTGTTGTTTACAAAACAAAACCCAACCAAGCAAGAGGGAAAAAAAAGAAAAGAAAAGAAAAAAAAAGGAAACCAGAAAGCCCCACAAAACACAACCAAATACCCTAAAAGGGGGGGAAAAAATCGCAGGGAAAATGATGAATTTGGGTAGTTAATTTATCGATCTTGGCTCCTCTTCCCGCTTGTTTTATTTTAGAGGTCATTAATCAATGAAGAAAAACACCACCGTGTTCCCCCTTTGCATTTAATACGTTTACCCTCCTTATTTATTTCTTTTGAACAAATTCCTAGCAAATATTCACCAATCGATTCGTAGGCGATGGATTTTTATAAAGGTTTGATCGCCTTCTAAACGGTCAATGTGATTTGTTTCAGCTCTCGTCCTCTAAATAATGAAAAAGCCTGAGAGAAGAGGAAGGAGATGGCAGCAGTTAAAGCTTCCTTTCTTGTTTCCCTCTCATCTTTACATGCAGGAGCAAAGAAATGAAATAATTTTTTTTAAATTATTTTTTTTAAAAAAGCCAAACTCACAGCAAGAGCAAACCCAAGAAACAGTAGCAGACAGACCAGCTCGGGGGAGCCGGCAGGGACGCGCACGAACCGCTCTGCCTGGGGAAGCGAGAGCAGAGGTCAGGGCCGGCCGAAGCCGCCCCGGGGAGGCGCAGGTTCAGGGCTGGGAGCCGGGCTGGCGGATTCCCGAGGGAGCGGAGGGGCCGGCAGCGGAGATATTTTGGAGGGACTGGTCGAGAAGCCGCCCCCTGCCCGCCTGGCCGGCTCGTCCGTCCGTCCCGTCCGTCCGTCCGGTCCGTCCGTCCCGTCCGTCTGTACCGTCCGTCTGTCCCGCCCGCCGCTCGGCGCCGACGCTGACCCGCGCTCGCCGACCCTGCCCGCCGGTGCTCTCGTCCCGTCCACCCCGCGCCCGCGGAGCTCCCCGCGGCCGGGGACAGCAGCCGAAGGACGAGCGCAGCGTGCCCGCCGCAGAGCCGGCCCGGGGCTGAGGGCCGCGGCTCCCTCCCTCCGTGCCCTCCGCGAACCCGGCACGCCGAGCCTTCCTCCTTCCTCTCCTCTGGTCCGGCAGCGTCTCGGAGCGCCAAGGGAGTCTGTAAATCCTATTCTGCCACCTTGATCGCTCAAAGCGCTACGTCTCTGTCTGCTAAAAAAATGGCAGAAGCAACAGATTGAAGTACTCCTGAATATGAACCCTTATGGAATACTTCTGTTAACAAGTCGAAGCAAATGCAGGTATTGACAACGTACTTAAATCCATTAGTTGGGCTCTTTCCTCTACTTCGTCACATTTTTCTAGCGCGAAACGAATTTTTGAGATTGCTACCACCAAAAGAAATTCACTATTTTAGAAAGAAGTCCAATAAGGAAGACAACCATAGCACAGATGTGGGCGTAAAGGTAAAGTAAAAATAAATTAAAGAGTCAGACGGGGCGGAATAAAATTGTGACCAGGAGGGAGGTGGGTAGGAACGAGACGTTGTTTTAATGCAGTGAAAACGGAGAAAACCAAGCGCACCCACTGTCAGCGCGCCCAACACTGACCGCCAGCGACGGTGCGAACAGACCGGCAGCCCCACCTCTGTCCCCGGGCTGAGCGGCTGCGCCGCGGAACTACAGAAAGAGCATTGAGAGAGCGAGAGGGATGAAAATTATTCCATATTGCATCATAGAATTGATCAAAGACTTAAAGAAGGTTTTTATACCCAACTTTATAACCCCTAAAAATGGGTGCTGGGGGTGCTCCTACTCGTGTTTGCCTTTAATTTAGGTGTTATCAATCTATACAGCAGATGACGGATGACCTTGTCAAAATGACTCCAGTCAAAACATTTTTTGCCCGAGCCGTGTTCAAATTTGTGTTAAAATGTCCTGCCTTAGACACAGACAAAGTCTAAACAGCAGCAGCTTTCCCAGGCTCTGCGAGAATGAAGGGTGGGAAAGAAACAAACTGGAATCAGGGTGGGGAGAAGAGTGAAAACATATTACACGCTCACACGTTACTTTTGTAGGCAACTGTGCATTCAGTGTGCGTGTAACACCTGTCTACGAGGGCTCTTCTGGCACTAGAGAGATGTTTTGGTAAGATAAACAGTTCGTGCATTTTGTCCTCAATGCAAGGCATAATATGTACGAACCACGTACCTAAGAGATTATAGTTCTTGTCTGTTTTTTCACGTGGTCTAGGAAAGAAACTGAAAAAAAGCCCCAAACTTGTAAATACTCACTGATATGTGAGCTCAACAACTGAGCAGCGGGGCGGGAAACCCAAGTTTCTAAGCAGAGTGGGGACGGAAAGTCACCAGAGATGAGAAGTTTCTCGTCACAGGTTGCATCTCCCTCATGCATGCTTCTTGCACTGCGCTGTAACCTGGTACAAAGAGCAGGAGTGAGGCGTGCTGGTGGTGCTCGGGGATGCAGGGTCTGAGCAAGGAGAAGCTCTGGGGCGGGGGGGTTCCCTCAGCTGCGCTGGGACCGGTCTCAGGCAGCCGAGGGGAACAGGAGGAATGTCACCCAGCACACAGCAGCAGCTATCTGAGACAGCACCGGGACAGGTCGGCTAGGTGCCTAAAATCTGCCCCAGCCCCCGAGGGGCCAAAAGCAAGTGAGGCAAGAGCCTCGCAGCTGACCGGAGCTGGCCGGGTGCGGGGCGCTGGGGCCGGGAGCTCCCGCTCGGCTCCGGGCTGGGAGCAGCGGATCCCGCTCGGGACGGGGCCGGTCCCCCGCTCCCCTCCGCCGAGGTAAAAGCCAAAATCCCCAAATCCCAGCAGCTCTTTGGCTCTTTTCGGGGCCATTGTACTTCGGAGCTGGGGGCGGGGGAGGGGAGGGGGGAGAGGAAAAAAGAGAGGATGGGAAGAAAACTGGAGGGAGGGAAACAGGAGAGAGGGAAAGAGGTCGAAGGCTGGGGGTGGGAGGGAGGGAAGGAGGAGGGAAGGGAAGAAAGGGGCACTTTAAAAGTTGAGCGAGGAACAAAGTGGGGGAAGTTGCCAAAAAAAGAGCTCTGCATCCAGACTCGCTGGTAACTTCCCGATCCCTCCCCTCCTTCTCGTACACACCACACACACTTGTATTTTGCGCTGTCGTAAAACCCACGTGTCTCGCCCAGAGCCTGCCAGAGCCGAGTCGAGCGCCCGGCCGCGACTGCGATGCGCAGCCACAGCAGAGGGAGCCCGGTGGCTCGCAGCTAGCCGTCCCTCCGGTCCTCGGAACCTGGAGAAGGATCAGTCCCCTCCCGCGTGGACAAAGATCGGAGAAGTCTTTGCTCCCGGCCGCGGTCCGGCTCGGAGGCTCCCGGAGCAGCCGGCCTCTCCGCCCGCCGCCCGCGCAGCAGCAGCAGCAGCGGCAGCAGCGCTCGCCCCGCTCAGGTAAGGCAGGCGCGGCCCGGGCCCCTCCGAGCTGCCGGCACAGCGCGGCCCCCGAGCCCGGGCAGGGCAGCGCCGGCCGTGCCCTCCGCCCGGCAGCGCCTGAGTGGGGAACAGCAGGGAGAGACCCGCGCGTGTGTGCGTGTGCCTGAACTTTCCTCCGCCTCCTCCGCCTCCTCCTCCTCCCTGTTGTCAGCGGACAGTCGTTTGCTTCCGCGGAGAGAGGGAAGGAGTGGAAAGGGAAGGCAGTGCGTGCGAAGGGGACGGGGTGAGTGGGGGCTCTCGGGCTGAGGGCGGCGTGAGGGGCTGCCCGCCACCGCCCGCCTCCTGCCCGGGCTCCGCCGTGTCGCCCCGGCCACCACCTTTCTCGTCCTGGGACTTTTCGGGACGAGGCTTTCCCCTGACGGATCTGGCCACGGACAGGAGAAGCGGCGGGCGCACGGTCCCGCGCGGCCTCGGCGCAGAGCCCACGCGTGGCACAGCGTGTCCGAGCGTCTGTCCGACCGCGGGTCCCACCGCGGGGCCAGGCGGCTCTGCCAGGGCGGGGCGGGGGTCTCACGTCTTCTGTCCCCTTCCTCCCTGCTCCACAGGCAGAGCGATGCTGAAGCCCGGAGATCCCGGCGGATCCGCGTTCCTGAAGGTGGATCCCGCCTATCTGCAGCACTGGCAGCAGCTTTTCCCGCAGAGCAGCCAGCTCAAAAGCAGCGGGCCCCTCGCCCAGCTCCAGCCACCCGAGAGAGCCGAGCCCCCGGCTGACAGCCTCCGCCAGCGCCCGACCTCCCTCTCCTCCGCCTCCTCCTCTTCCTCGTCCACTCCGTCTTCCTCCTCCACCTCGTCCTGCGTCGCTGCAGCCGCGGCTTCTCTGGCCGGCCTGACCTCCCTGCCTGTGACCCAGGTCCCGGTGTTCGGCCCGCTGCAGAGCTCGGAGCTCCCGGCCGGGGCAGCGCCCGCTCCCCTGCAGGGCAAGGATTTGTGCGGGGCCGGCGGCGGCAAATGCGGCGAGCGTGGCCCCGCTCGGTACCGCTGCACGGCCGAGGAACTGGACTACTACCTGTACGGACAGCAGCGCATGGAGATCATCCCCCTGAACCAGCACACCAGCGACCCCAACAACCGTACGTACCGTGCCCTTCTCGCCCTCCTCCGCCGCTTCCCCTCCGCGCCTGGGGCCAGCCCGGGGACGCTCCAGGCTGCGGTCGGTGCCTGCACCGCTCTCACTCCACCAGGAGCATCCTCCGTCTCGCCCTTCCCTCCCTTTAGTTTTTGCCTTGATACCAGTTGTTTCAGGAGACGGGCTGCAGCCCTTCAGCAGCAGTTTTTCTGGTCTGAAAGCCGTGTCCTTCCCTGGAAGGCACGCTTCATCCGAAAGGCTGTGGCGGGGGTAGATTTTTTTCGGAGGGCTGCTTAGGAAAATGGATTCAGAAAAGGTTCAGGGCGACTAGCTACAAAGCTGGTCCTTTCTCGCCTTGTATGTCCCACTGCATTCCTGCCCGGAAAGCCCGGGCTTCGCTGAATATCCAGAAATCAATTACTCCTCCGACCTGGGCAGGGGAAGAGTTGCAGTTTTCATCAGATGGTCTAGGGCAAAGTTTTCCTCTTTCTTATCTCGGAGTATCGTTTCCTTTCAGACCTCGTTAACACCTCGTTGGTTTTAGTTTCCACCCCTACGGAAAAGCATGACATGGTCATTTAAAGAGAAAAGCCTATTTTCTCCACGAAAAAGTCTGCACGAGTCAGAATTAACTTAGGACTTTGCGGTTCTAAAGAGTTTTATACTGCTGTAGCCTATTATACAGCTGGGAGGGTTTTTTTGGGGGGGGGAGGGGGCTCCCTTATCATTATACATCTGTACGGATGAAAGGTTTGTAATTTTAGAAACTTCTGTCTTTTTTTTACCCTCTATCTATTAATACGATGCGACCGAGGAAATTCACGACACGAAAAGAACTGTATGAACTCCTAATAGTTCATCAGTTTTATAACTAACATTCAGAGCACGCGGATCTGGATCTGTCCCTCTTAAAACACATGGCCTCGACCCATGCACTTTAAAAAAATATTATTGTTTCAAACACTCTCTTTTATCCTAAGGTTTCTTAAAACTCTTTTTTTTTTTTTGGTTGTCCTTCTCAACCACCACTCCCCAAATGTCGGTTTAAGGAAGGCTGCTGAACAGAAAAACGATACCCCAAACCAGCAATCCTGAAACACATGCCCAAGCAAAACGCGGATTCGTTTAATTCAATTTCAGACGAGGAGCTTGTTTTGAAAGTTTCCATGACATCCTGCTATGTATTAATTAAACTGGGTGGGTGTTAGCACAGTCTTCAGCGCTGCGCATATGTTAGGGGGGGAAAGTTGAATCGGAGTTTGGTGGAGATTTTTCCCGCCTTCTTAACATTTCAAATGCTTCTATATTGGTTGTCGACTTTATTTTGAGCGACTTCCTCATGCTTAGTCTTACCTTGTTGTGAAACTTGTTCCTGTATTTTGTGTTCTCGGGTGAAGAAAACGTGATATTATAAATTACATGCAGAAAATGGAATCCGAAATGCACTTCTAATCGACAACCGAACGGTTCAAACAATCCATGTTTTACTTCTCGGAGCCGCTCTGTAAACCTAAAGGGTAAAGGTTGTAAAAGGAGAAAGGAATATTAAAAAGCGTTTGCGGGAGGGGGGATGTTTTTAAAGACTGAGTGGAATAAGAGCACCCCGCAGAGTCGGAGGCGAAGCCTGAATAATTTCTTCCCGAGCGCGGTGCAAAAGGTGGAAGCTTCGGGGAAGCAAAGGGATCGATCGCGGAAAGGACGCTTGTGAATCGCGTCCGGCTCTGGCGGGGCCGCCGTCGCCGTCGGAAGGACGGGCAGGGGGCAGCCAGCGCCATCTCGACTTTTTTTATGTTTGTTTTTCTTCAGCTAGATCTAAACATTCCTATAATTTACTTGTTTACTGGGCGGCTTTCGCTCTAGCGGTTATTAGCTGCCTCCGAGCGAAACTCGCAGCCCGAGTGTTTCGGTCTTCTGGGACCAAGCGTAGTTGCCTTGGGCAGCTCGTGCTTCAAAAAAAAAAAAAAAAAAAAAAAAAAAAAAAAAAAAAAAAAAGTAAACTGTCAGTGAGGAAGGAGAGCCGCAGCTACAGCCCGTGCCGTGCCACGCACTCCCAGCCCTCGCACGATCAAGGGAACAAGCTGCAGGACACGGGCCTGGCTGCCCGAGCGCGGCCGGGGTCACGCTAGCGGTGCGTGGGCAGCGGGGTTTCCACCGCCTTGACTCCCACCCTCACTCCCGTTTCGCACCATTCCCACCCTCACTGCCCGCTTGAGGGGAAGGAGGTGGGGGCTGTGGGTGAGATGAGGCGCCGTCTACTTTAGTTTGAGTCGTGCTTGCTTGCTGCGCTTCCATCTGCGGACAGCCCCAAGGACAGCCCGGGACGGGCGGGCTCTCCCCAGCCCGGCACAGTCACCCGCCCGCCGGGATTCACGCCCTGCCCGGAGCGGGGGCGCCGCTCTGCTCCTCTGCCCGGCCCCGCAGGCTCCGTCTGTTTCTCGGGCTCTAATCCCAGCTGTACCTCCTTCACCAACCGAGCGGGTGCCCTGTCTCCCCCACTTTCCCAAATAACAAATAACACCCCTCTCTCCATGCCGAGCATCCCTTCCTTTCGCGGCGCTCCCCGCGTGTCCCCGCTCCCCGGCAGGTCCCACCCGCTCCACAGAGGCGCCGGCAGACTCCGCGTGTGCCCCGCTGGTTCTGCGGGGCCGGGGCCGCGGCCGGGCCCGCCGGGGGAGCCCGAGCGGCGGCCGAGGCTGTCCCGGCGGCCGAGGCTGTCCCGTCCCGTCCCGGCTGCCGAGGCTGTCTGTCCATCCCGTCCCGTCCCGTCCCGTCCCGGCTGCCGAGGCTGTCTGTCCATCCCGTCCCGTCCCGTCCCGTCCCGTCCCGGTTGCCGAGGCTGTCTGTCCATCCCGTCCCGGCCCGGCCTCCCCGCCCGTTCCCGCTCCCCAGCGCTCGGCCCGGCCCGGCGCCGGGCGGCCGCCGCGGGAAGATGGATGGGCGGCGGTTTCCCAGTAGCCACACGCCTTGATCGTCAAATATCAATGAATATGGCACGGTCTTGGGTGAGGGAAGGGGGCGGGGGCCGCCTAGGAGCTGCGGGTTAAGCGTCTGTATGTAATTGTTTTAAATTGAAAGGGGATAAGCTAGGGAAAAGTAATAATAATGATAATAAAAAAGAAGCAATTAAGAGGCAAAACCCTGACTAGAGCCCAGCAGTCTTTACCCGCAGGGAAGTAAAGGGGATTATGCTAAAGCCCCGATAAAGTGGCAGGAGGCTGGGGACCGTTTGCTTTCCAGCCTCGAATCTGGAAGGACTAGGATATTTGTGGGCGCTGGGGCGGCAGGAGCGATCTCCTCGGGTGTGCCCGGGGCTGCGGGACCGGCTGTTCCCCTGGAGGCTCGCCCCGAGCCCCGGGGAGGCGCTTCCGCACCGAGAGCTCTGAGACTCCTCCACCTTCGCCGGCAAGCACCAACCTGCCGCTGTAATAAATACGCCGTGTAAAACTGAAGTGTCACGCCACCATGCACTTTGCACGCCTTTTCCCATTCAATTTATGGGGAGACAGAGTATATGTAACATGCTGTGAAGTGGATCGGTGTGGAAAATATTCGGACTTTTTTTTTTTCCTTTGGGCTGATGGTAACCTGTACGATTTAGCTATTTTACATCATTAGTTACCCAGCACCCTTAAACATAGCAGATAGCCATACATTAGATTGAGGTTAGAGAAGGTGGTGACTGTTTATTTAGGGTGATAAAATGGTCCATCAGCAGTAATCTCCATCGATATGTGCCACCAGGAGATGAAGGATGAGGGGACAAGCCGCAATTAATTGCCCTATAGTTTTGTAGGAGAGAGTGGAGCCGGTGCGGGCTGAACTTCGATCTCCTCTCCTGGCGCCTATTCATCATCTCTACATTGTATATGGGGGTCTCTCAGGGGCAGAGGGTGGCAAGGTTTATCTACACACAATATTCTCCTACCCTTCTCATACCTGACACGGAAATTTAATTCATTCATACCTACAGTAGAAGGCAGGGAAAATCAAACCCGCCTCCCTCAACCCGCCCTACACTCGCCTCTTAAAAATAACCCGAAGGCGCCTCTGAAGGCGGGGCGGGCCCCCTGACCCGCTCCGGGGCGCTCTGGGGAAGGAGGAGCAACCCCGGGGTGCGCCTGAGCCCCGGCCGGGAGCGGCGGAACCCGCGGGGGAACGGGCAGCGAGGCACTGCCCGGGGCCACAGCCCTGCCAGAGGGGACCGGGACAGCCCCGGGACAGCGGGCCGGGCTCGGTCCCGCTCTCGGCAGAGAGTTGTTAGAGTTAATAACTGAATAAATAGAGGCCACCCGACGGGAAAACGCATCCGCGTTTCGTAGCCCCGAAAGCCTGCCTCCGGTGAGGCAGTCTGATAGAAACTGCCAATAATTTGGTGAAAGGAGGTGGATGCCAGCTCATCGATGAGGAAACTGAAGTACGAGGGAGGCTGAGCTTCCCTGGAAAGCTCCAGCCCTCAGGAAAGGAAGGGAAACAGTCCCTTCCCGCCCTCCCTCCTGCTTAGCTGGGTACCCGGGCCCAGACAGGGATGCAGGGCCAGCCGTGGTGATTTATACTTGCAAGTGAATAATACCATGTGAAATGATGGCCACTTACACTGGATACCTGCATGCTTGCGGTGAATTATGGAGCAAAGGGTCAGAGGCCACCCTTCTTTAATACCAGCAAACTGCAGGTATCCAGTCTAACTGCACCTTTGAAGCATATTATTGCTGAGGAAAAAATGTATTTCTTTCATTTATTGTTACAGCTGGTTTGCTGGTAAAAACACTGTGTTAAACCCTAGTTTCACTGATGAAAGGCTTTTCCTTTCAGATTTGCTTTAAAGTGTGCAGTAGTAGTGTTATTTATGTTGGTGTGTGTTTAAAATTACATTTTGGGGGCAATGATATGTCCTTTTGCTTAGGTTTAGTACTTTTAAGTGTACTCACACGGAGTTATAGTATTGGCATTACACTGTGTTCATTTTTCTGGAGGCACATAAACAGTAACATCTTCCAATCCTTCCATAAGAACCATGCCAAACAGCTCCTCTAGGAAATCCTTTTATTTTCTTTTCTTGCATCTTCCTTTCCTTAATCCTCCTTATCTATAGAATATGAAGGTATAAAGAAGGAAACTGATCTCCTTCCAAAGTGTTTGGCTGTATCTGGGCTTGCAATGCAGTATTCCCACTGACTTTACCTTCTACATCTCTAGATTTTATCAGCACATACTCTGCTCTGGCTGCAGTCCTCCTTTATTTTTCCATTTTCAGCAAGTCCTCCAATTTTCTTACATTTCTTGCTTCTTCTTGGCTTGATTTGGGGCTTGAGTGATGCTATTGCAGAAAGCAGAATTATCCATTTCAGCCATTCTCAGTGAAGACCTGTGCTCACACTCAGCTGCTCTCCGAGGCCAGAACTGGAGGAAGGGCACAGGGCAGCTCTCCTGGGCACCCTGTCTGGCCATGCTCTGGGAAGTTCACACTTTTAGAAGCATCATTTTCTTGTGAACCCCCCCCACAGCAGTGCGGGTGATAATGGCCACTCTGGTGATGTGAGTGGACCTCGACACTGCCCCTCTCAAAGCCCCGCTTCTTTTCCATGTCTTATTAAGCATGTTGGTGCAGCGTGCCACATTGTGCTCTGCAGCACACACAAAAACGATGCTGTTCATCCTGCTGTGAGGAAGGATAGTGTGCAAGTCTTGGAGCTCTTGATTTTTTTCCCCAAAATGATATGAAGGAAATCATTCCCTTGTCCTCTGAGGCAAAGGAATACATTGCCTACAGTGGTGGTCTTTAAATGGACGCTTTCATGTATTACACTATTACACAAAAGTTAGTTACAGGACAGGAAAAGATGCACAGTAGCTTTTTACTCCAGGCATGGTAAAATATAGCTAGGATGGCTTCCATTCCTTATAACATTTATGAGAATTTTTAAAGATTTTATTTGTGCAATTACATAGCAACTAAAGCTAAATGTATGAAGCATGAAACTAAGAGGAATTTCAGTACTGCTTAGTATTAAAGACAGATTCCTTCCTTCTCATCAACAAGACATTAGCCAAAACAGTTTCAAAAGATGTTCCATTTTCCAAATTTTCAACTTTGGCAGGACAAAGGGGAAAGGAACACAGCGGGGGATCAGATACTGTGACTGCCAAGCATTAAGACATTACCACTGTTTTTGGACACTGGAAAATAAGTATCACCACGTGTGACTTTCTGTAAGGGTAAATGACAGTGACACGGGGTTTGTTTGTACTCCTTGACAATTTCTTAGTTTCTTTTTCTTGGAAATGTAGAAATAAAATGTTTAATCCAAATTCATGCACACATATTGTCAGAATTAAGTTACGGAATTATTGCTCTAGGCAGGTACTGAAATTTTTGTGCATGAAAAGTTATGTATATCTGGCTGCTGTATGCAGGAACACACAGCAGGTTGTCTGACTGGAGTAAAGAAGATATTGAGCAGTTTAATGTAAATTTCTCCAGAGATAAAATTCCTCTAAGAAAGCCATTGTAATCAGCTAGTTATGAGGAGGGTTGCGTATCCAGAAAATATTAAAGCAGTGCAAATAATTAAAATTCAAGGGCCTACCCTGGTGCTAACTGACATCGTGGTTAGATATCGTTCTTTAAGCTCTCAGTTTTCCTGTAAGATGTTTTCTTTCTGACTTGCATGGGAAGATTGAAATCAATTGATTTCATAGAGTCATAGAACAATTTGTGTTGGAAAAGATCTGTGAAGTCATCAAGTCCAACTGTAGATCATAGAGTTCAGCCATAATCTGTTTAGAGTGTATCACATGCCAAACTGTTTTGGGTTGTGGGCTTGCTTTTTCATTGTTTGGGGTTTTTTCTTCCCTATTTCTATTTGGGATCCTTTCCTATGTGACCTCCGGTGCCAAACTGCAGTGCTGCCCCTAATAGCTTTGGATAGGCCAAAACCACAGGGTTTCTTGATGACTGGTTTTGAAGAGGAAAGGGAAGAAAAGATGCTGTGGTGATACCTCACTTTCCAAACTAGCTGTGGAAATAATAACAAAAAAACCCCAACCGCCCTGCTGCCCCATTCCCTCCCTCTCCAGCATGTACTTGATGCCTTTTATTCATCATGCCTCAGAATGGTTGTAGGAATATTTGCTGCATTCTTTTAGGACTCACCAGAAATATCTTCCCTGGGCTCCGGCAAATCCCACCCGCCATCCACGTCCAATTGATGTGGCTGGGAGAGCAAAACCCCTCTGCCGCGGTGCTTCAGCCCAAGGGAAGTCATTTTGTGGTGGGGATGATGTCCCTAAGGCAGGAGGAGCTGCACCCTGCGGCCACAGTCGCGCTTTGTGGCAGCGTGAGGGCCATCCCCGCTGGGCGGCTGGACCTACTGGAGATGTATGGATGGATGGATGGATGGATGGATGGATGGATGGATGGAGGGATGGATGGATGGATGGATGGATGGATGGATGGGTGGATGGATGGATGGATGGATGGATGGATGGATGGACGGATGGATGGACGGACGGACGGATGCACGGCCTGGGGCCAGTTTGCTGTGCAGCCCCTCTGCAGGGGCACCCGCCGGAGCGATGCACGGCTCAGGGCTTGTCTCCTTGCCTTCTGCTGGGATCTGTGAGCCATGCTGCGGGTAGGGAGCTCCGACGGACGAGCACCAGGTGGAGGCAGGTGTTTTCTGCAAGACTCAAAGGTGTAATGATCTTGAGGGAAATTAGCTTCCACACGTAACTTAGTAATAATTTCTTGTTGCTGAACGCATCACTTTTTTCATGCTAAAGTTTAAAAGAGGATGACAGGAAAAAGTGTTTATGTAGCGTGTCTAAAACTGCAGAATACACATAGAAGCCATAATTTCAAGATGCATCTTTTACTGTCCTTTAGCAGCTTTTGATGAAATGAAGGGAGGGTTTTCCTTTGAAGGATCTGTAGGAAAGAGACCTACTTAATACACAGTACATCCAGTTTGGGAAGAAGAACATCTGAGTCAGGGCCCCTGAGAATTGAGACTGTGGTTGCAGGCAGTCTAGCAAGTCTAAATCTGTGGCATAGACCAAGAAACTCCTACTTCTGTAGTGAATGCTGTGCTCTGTTTTTATAAGGAGTGGTATATAAAATTGTTAAGGGAAAGATGCAGGACTTGCTACAAGAGTATTACGCCATAATTATTGGTTTTTCTTTGTATTTCTGGAATAAATTTATATTAAAACATTTATTGTGTTACAAAAATGAAATATGAAGAAGACAGCAATTTATTTCAAGAGATTCATTGTTATGTTAACTCGGCATATCTCCAGAGAAATTAATTTCTTGAACATGAAACATTTTCCTGGAAGATGTACATTTGTGGCATGTGGAATAGTGTGCAGTGGAAACACTTAACCAAAATTTTCTTTGCTCAGAAAAGAAAAGCCATGGTAGGATCTTCTCAAAATAGAGACACATCATTCATTATTAACAACAGTTAGGGAAATTAACAGTTTTACAAATTGATCTTTTTCACAGGAATTGCTCATGAACTCAGATATGCTGTTTTGGTCTTTTCCTAGCTTCATTTACATTGTACAGGCAAAGAACATGCATTCTCATTCAATAAATAAAATTTCAAGTGTGTGCCCAGAAATATTTGCTGCATAATTTCAGTTTTAAGATTAGATTTGTCTTTAGTAAAGTAAATGTGCGTGCAGGCTCCAATTTGTCATTCATGAGGTTTCTGGTTTATTTATTTTATTTTCCAAACAGACAGACATGCACACACACATGTTAATGTAAAAACCAGAGTGAATGTTCATTTAAAATAAGGATTAAATTAAATCTTGTTCCAATTAAGCCCTTATTTGGGTTAATTGGGCTGAGCTGTGGTAAGGCAGTTGAGAGGGACTTGTGACACGCTATGACTGCGTTTTAAAATGTCTCGCTGAAACACACTGGGATGGTTTAACTGCACTATTTGCATTAGTCAAAAAAATTCATCTTTAAAAACATTGTTAAAGTAAATGAATCTTGGCAGGTTTGTGAATACACAAGGCTTGCAAATTGTCTGCAGGATTTCTGCTCAGCCTTTGGAATTTTTTACTTAAGGCTTTGGCGAGATCTGGGAAAGAGCCTAAGCGGCGCTCAGAAGGGCGCGGCGCGCAGGGGCACCGGCTGTGCAGCCGTGGAATGGCAGTGCAGGCACAGGGATCGGCGCGGCACGGCCGTGGCGGCGGTGGTGGCCAGCAGCAGGGCACTGACAGCTTTTCCCTCTCTGTCCCCCAGGATGCGACATGTGCGCGGATAACCGGAACGGCGAGTGCCCGATGCACGGGCCCCTGCACTCCCTGCGCCGGCTGGTGGGCACCAGCAGCGCCGCCGCCGCCGCCCCGCCGCCCGAGATCCCCGAGTGGCTGCGGGACCTGCCCCGCGAGGTGTGCCTGTGCACCAGCACCGTGCCCGGCCTGGCCTACGGCATCTGCGCCGCGCAGCGCATCCAGCAGGGCACCTGGATCGGCCCCTTCCAGGGAATCTTGCTCCTGCCAGAAAAGGTTCAAGCAGGTGCCATCAGGAACACTCAGCACCTCTGGGAAGTAAGTTATCGTGTTTCCTTCCTTGTCAAATTTGATCTTTTTGAAGTAAACATGGAGTGTGATTGTATGTAGTACTAGCACCAGAGCTAGCCGTGAAGATAAGCAAACAAACCCACAACTCAAATAAACCAAGTAAGCAGGTTTGAAAGTGTAGCCAGTGCAAGAAAAAGCCTTGCTGTGATAAAGGTAGCCAGAAAACCAGCGGACAGCACAGAGCTCCAATGGGTCTGCATGAGAAGAGCTGACTGCTGCAGGTGCTGTTGTGTGTAGTAGAGAGTCTTAGTCAGAGAGATCTGAAGCTTTTACAGCACCCAGTGCTTTCTATATTTTGACCTGAGTTACAAGAGTTGATGGAGCTCTCAGGTCACAGCACCAGCTGTATTATGCTAGAGCAGTGCATGTGGGTTGAGATGGAGTGCTGCACCTCTGCTGGGGCCCTCAGCCAGTCCAAGAAAAGCTACTGAAATAAGCCCAGGATCCTACTCCACAGCCTGACCCTTTGCAGTGCAACGGAGTTTATTCTTGCTCAGTTGAGTTCAGCTCCGGTCCTGTACCTACTGTGTGTTCACCAAAGGAGGTTTCCAGTGCTTTATGAAAGCCACTTTCGATATCTCAAAGCCATTGGTTTTTCTTTTTTAAATATTTGTCACTGCCTTAGAGAGTGACAGGTATCACTCAGGAAAAACCTATAATCTCTGTGTGTCAGAAAGAGCCTACTCTCTTCCTAGTCTTCTGCCATTAATTTCTTTGATTTGTACTGGAAGGTATAATTTTTTAGTTCTGCTTAGTCCTCTGTAGCTGCAATCTCTGCTTGCCTCAAAACTAACTGCAACAGTCAGTAGAGACAGGCCCATAGATCTGTGGTATTTGCTCATCCACACCAGATCCAAATCTTCAGAATATAAGGAATCCATGAAGATGCAGTGTTTTTGCTGTCTTCAGCGTGTGTACAGGGAAAGTGAATGGATCTTTGAAAGATGTTTGGGGGTATGGAAGAGTTGGAGCTCCTATGCTTTTCCTGCATGTAAACAAATAATAAACATCACACCAGGGTCTTTTTCTCAAGGTATTTATCCAAAAACATCATTGTGGCAAGAAGATTTTCACATTAAAGACATCAGTCTCATAACACACCTGAATGTGATCAGTAGAACTGGATGAATTGCAATGACTGGGAATTTTGCTGCTGCCTCCAGTGGAGATGGAATTTCTCTTGTACAGCAGATATTGATAATTTGGATTCTAACCTGTTCATACCAAAGCCCAGCGATTATAATGGCAGTATTTTGGGATATTTATTAATCACATATTTTTTATGGACCACTTTATAATGATGTTGGAGTTTGAATTGTTAAGAAGGGTATTGTGATTTAGACTGTTCAAATTAACAGAATATATAATAGTGCAATGAGATTGTCAGATCCACATATTACAATAAGTACTGAAATTTAGATAAATTGAGGCAGATAATTTTTCCATAAATATTTACAGGATGAGTTTAACTTTTAAAAACATGTGAATTAGTTTTATGCATGTAAACTTGTAGATACTGACAATACCTTTTTAAATAAGCAAGATTTTTATCATATTTCAGGTTATCTTAAAAAAGGGTTTGAAGCAATGAAAGAAGTTACGGCTTTTAAAAAATTATAAACAAAACCCAAAAAGATACTAAGGAAAAAAAACCTACCAGTACTATTTTGTGTACCAGATTCAGGCTGTAAGTGCTTGTCAGCTGAGATTTTGTGTGGGATTACTCTTGTGCTCTTAGCACACAACACAGATTTCCTGTTGGCTAGCAAAATGAATGCATGCATTTTAATAGAATTATCTTAAAAATAAGAATTCAATTTGATTTAATAATAACATGTTGCTCACGGTCTTGAATTATTTTTGTTAATGACAAAAACTGTTATCAAAGAAACACATACTCTAAGCTTTAGCCCAAAATTTTGCTGTTTCTCATTTGTTTCGTCTTTCAATTTGGCATACTTTATCTGTCAGAAGACCAATGTTTAATTAAAAAAATATATTAAAAGAAAGTAATCAGAAAGTGTAATTTTACAGAACCTGATCTATGAAAATACATAAAAACAAATGGCAGTATATATCTAAACAGTCTGTATTCATTTAGTCTACGTGGTATAGGAGTGTGGATTAAATCACTGTGAATGATAAATAAATGTTTCATCATAGTCCCTTTTTAAAGTTGTGACCTTAGTCCATTCTCTTTCACCAATGTTTCCCACACAGCTGCAAATGCAAGTCTGTCTACAGATCAGCTGTTCAGCATTAGGTCTTGATAGACCTTATGGAGAGAATTTCACATTTTTAGTATCATAAATTGCATTTTATTATTTTGCCCTTGGGACTGTAAAGTTGATAGATATTTGTTTTAGTTTACAGTTCTTTGTGTACACCAGGCAAACAGAAGGGCAATTGCGAACACTTTTAAGCATAGTTACGGCTTTGGTTGCTTTTTTCTTTGTGCTCTTTGTTGTGGGAAACATCAGAAGCACTGCATTTGATGTATAGTTCAGTGCTATGGAAATATGCTTCAGACTGTCTGCACAAGTGTTCCCACCACGCACTCGGTGTTTGCTTTGTGTGCAATGCGCGCAGCGCAGCATCACAGCGAGTTACACCCCACTCCATTGCCTCACAGCAGCCCCGACACCCATGGGTGCTCATGGGAAATTAGAGAGCTCTCTCACAATCACCCAAGATAATTTTTATAACTTAGAGAAAGATCAGTCTTTCAGAAAGCCAAAAATATTAGTCATTTCAGTTGTACTGCCTTTTTTTTCCCCCCCTCTGGCCCACTTCTATAACCAGAGTTTGCTTGTATTTAAAAAAAATACAATAAACTCTGATTTGTTTAAAACAAAAACAGGACTGGGTGTATTAAATAAACATTCTCTTTGGTAATGCAGGCATTTATTCCAGCAGTGCTTCATAATGTTTCTGATTCCTTTTTTTTTTCTATTTTGAAGTAGTGAGAATAATCCTTTTGTTATTGCAAAGAAACAGAGACTTTCTTAGCAATTAGGTCTTACTGATGAGAATGAGATAATTTTCCGCTAATGTGTTTTCTAATAAAGAAGTGGAAAGGCACACTTGATTCCAACATATATGAAAACATTATCTCAATTATTAATGTGTCCTTACTCCCTGGAGATAAATTAATCTAGTTGCACATGGTTTCCCCTTTCTGTTTAACATCAAAATTTAATAAGAGTAGACTTAAGGAATGTATACGATATACACTTAAATTCTATTAGAATAAAACACTGAGGTTTAAATGTGCATACATTTTAGTAGTCAAAATTTTTCAGGCTCCCAACTTTAAACTGTGAATTCTGGAAACAGCTAATTTGTAAATGGTATTTTCCCCTGCAAATGCAGCTTAGATGAAAAAATTTTACTGACAGACATATCAAAGGATACAGCCTTATCGTTTCCTGTTCTTCATGTGCCTGATAAAGAGTTTGCTATATCTTTTTTTTTTCTTTCATGTGTGGTCAAAGAGCTATTTTTTTTCTTGCAACAGCCTAAAAATATCAAATATATGATTTTACTTCATTTTGACTTTACTTAATTGAAATGTAGCATTTTTGGAAGTAATTTTTTATTATATGCGACTTCTTTTTACATGGACGAGAAAAATTATATGTGTGTATATATATATGTGTATATATATAAAAATATAAATATATATATATATATATATGTATGTATGTATCAGGGTGTTCATTAGTAAACACAAATTGATAAATCTGTGTAGCTGATTTTCCCCATTAAAAATTCCCCCTGTCCCCCTGCTTCCTTCCCCCCACCAAATTAACTGGCACAAGAAAGTGTGCATGTCATCTTAATAAAGTATCATATGGGTACTTTTTTGCCTTCTTGTCTTTTGCTTTAACTGAAGCAAAAGAAAACATTGCCTTTGCCTTCTGCTGGACCAAGAACAGGCTTTTTGCTGGGATGCACTCTGGCCAGGGCCCATGCAGCAATACTGGACATTTTGGAACAAATTAATATGCATGGAGAATCCTTGCGCTTCAAATGAAGCACTCATTGCAGTTATGGTGATAGATTCTTATCCAGATTCTCAAGGCTGCAGTTTTGGACTAAATTTGCTGTTACAGAAAAGCACTGGGGGATAGAATTATGTGCATGCTGTCGTTGTATTAAAGTAAAAATTATGTTTCTCAGCAATCCGTCATCTAGTATTCCAGACTGCTTGTCAGCTCTGTTTTAAATTTGTCATGTGCATGAAATTCAAGTAATTTTGTCTTGAAAAACCTCCTTAGTTACTTTGCTATTGTGTCTTGAGTTATTCAGAGTAACAGCTGGTGCCATTCTGTTATTTTTTTGTTTTGCCATTTCTGAGGATTTTGTGTGATGTAGCACTCTTGCATTTATTTTCCATTGAAAAAGACCAATGATTTTTATTTTTACATGGATTTCAAATTCTAGTGCTGTGGGAAAATATCACTAATGTTGTGGTCAGTAGCATGCTAAACTGTAAGCTCAGTAAGAAGACTCCATTTGTGTACCTCAGAAGAAAATTGTGCTAAGCATCTACAAAGCAGCCTTCTATCATTGGTATTTCTGGATCATTTACTAACACATTTTCCCAGATAACTTCTATAAGTTACAAACTCCTTTCTTAAGGTCCATAAAAAGTTAGTGAGATCACAAGTGTGGTATTTTATATTTAATAATTTTAGTTCTTAGAAGAGCTAAACAAAACCCTGATGTTTCTTTTAGAAGACCTGTGACTTTTATAAGACTTATGCATTATTTTAATGGATCTCCATGTTTTTGGTATGTTCTTTCTGTCTACAGAATGTATGTATAGTATGCCTAAATACATGTGCTACAAAATTAATCTAATTTGGCGTGGGGACAGATTCTCCTCCTATTGAACAAAGTGAAGTTTGGAATACACTTTGGTGTTTGGAGTTGGATACAGGCCCAGAATTTTAAGAGTGTTA